GAAATTAATAACATTATACAATACTGTAAGAGAACTGCCCATAACATCAGAGGAAATAAAAATTATGGCAGAAAAAGGCAACTTTATAATGAAAATGAATGAAAAATTAAGGTCTAAAGGAAAAAATATTATTGGAAATAATGCATTTTCATTATGTAATGATGTACATCTATGCAGAGAGAGTGGTGATGCCAAAATCGTTGCAAACAGGTATGTTAAAAGAATTTCACATAGGACAGGAATTGCTAGAATGAAATCCTTAATGAGGTGTTATTGAAAATTGAATAAAGATATTGGAAATTCAGTGAAATCACACAGAAATTGTGCTCTGGCAATGAAGTCACCGCCTATCAAAATTCAGCCTTAGCCAAAAACCGATATGCCATGGTCCAGAATATAGACTTCGCAGAATCGTTAAACGGAGCATACTATCTAGTGGTAGTCGATAGTTACACTAAATAGCCAGAAATATTAAAATGTAGAAGACTAACTACCGCAGTAACGATAAATTTCCTACACAAGATTTTTGAAATGTTTGGTGTTCCTGACACTATCATTGCGGATAACGTGACTCAATTCACATCTAGTGAATTTAAGTTTTTTTTGCAAATCATTAGCAATAGAACATTACAACTCCCCCTTATCACCCAAGATCAAACGGACAATTGGAACGGTTTGTCGATACGTTTAAAAGAACACTAAAAATGTCGGTGGGAGAGGAGTCAGATGAAGTAATGATTCAGCAATTTCTGAGTGTTTACTGAATAACACCAAACACAAACACCATGTTTGGAATGTCGCCTGCAGAATTGATGTTCGCCAGGAAGATTAAGACTATTTTCAATAAGTTATTACCAGAACGCAAGGCGAGAAAATCAACAATACAAGTAGATACTTCAAACCTGGAGATAATGTATTTTCTAAGATGGATGAGCGCGAAAGGAATTCTGGGAAGATGACGTTATAAAAAACGGATTGGTAAAATGACATACATGTGTACTGGGACAAAGGGGGAAACATAAACGACACCTTATTCAGTTAAAACGTAAATTCACTGATTTAAAACTTTCCCGAAAAGAGGTACCAATGGAAATTCTGTATGATACGTTTAACGTACCCATGCTATCAGAAATTGTTGAACGAAGGGTTTATGGCAAAAGAAAAAGAATTCCAACAGAACTTTTAACTACTGAACCGAAGCTGAAGAAGTATAGACTTCAGGGGAAGTCATCTCAAAGTTGGGGGTCTTATATAGGAATAAAATGTCGCTGCCGACACTGGAATTTGAACACAGATCACCAAAGAGTAAAGACAGGCGATCTCATTTTGAATAAGTAGATCACATGATGGTAAAGTAAATGTATATATGGAAATTAGAGTGGCGTCTAAGTTATCACTATACGGATTACTATTCGGGTAAGTATTGTTTGAAAGTGTTACTATCTGTGATTTGTAGACTCACGTCTTTGCGTCAGTTGGATTTGCGATTTAGTGTGCAAATAAATTTAGTTCTGTCTTCGTCCGTCAGTATTGTATTTCTGTGTATTTGTTTTGACTTCTCTTCGTGAATTCTCGTCTGTTGATCTCCCTCCCCTCAAAGAAAGGATAAAAGTATTACAATTGTCAAAAACAACAATACGAAGAATTTGTGTCCGGAAATGAATTGTTACCGTTGCCTTCGCTTCTCGAAGCGGTAAAGACCAAAACAATCTCGTTGTTAACAACGGACGGGAAATATATGAAGTTTATAGGCGTCACAGGAAAAGCATGGAGGAGGCCCTGAAGAGCCTCAATATAGGGGCCAAAGTGCTGGCCCGACGAAGTAACTCAATGTGGGATATTTTACTCCAAACTGAAGAGGCTGCTAAATCGTTAGCCGGAAGTATCTTTTCAACGAAGTCATTAAGGCTTCAAACGGAGTATATGGGGACGAGAGTAGCCCTAAATGGTGTACCCCTATATATTTCCGAGGACCACGTGGGATTTTTCTACTCAAAATTTGACGGAGGTAGCTGATGTGTCAACTGTTATGAGTAGGGCCGGTGACGTTGAGGTTTTGCTCAATGTGAACAGGAAGAATTTTATGGAGATGCCAAATATAGTGACCTGTGGAAGCCGTCACATTTATGTGGTCGTTGAAGGCCGACGTCCACTCTGTTGGGCATGCGGAGCCGCTGGGTACCTTCAGAAGGCGGGACCTGGGAAGAGGACACACCCACATCCACAACTTAGCACTAGCAAAACCTACAAAAAGTCCAGGCGATTTGATGGAAGTTGTTAAAAAGGGAGGGAAACCTTCAACTAACCCCAGCAAAAGGATGTGCCAAAAGAGGCTAAGAAGCGTATAGCAAATAAACCGCAATGAAGCAAACAGTAACAGCAGAGTGAGCAAGAGCGGAAGCCCCAAGGGAAACAGAAGTGTCAAAAAGGGAAACAGCAGGAGTGACGAGAGGACCAGACCAGCAACAAACCCAGGAAGTGGACATGGAGGAGATGCCCCCACCTCGGTCATCCTCTTTAAAAAGAGGGAGAGAGGAAGATGGGAAAAGAGACAATGTCCAAAAAAGAAAAGCAAACTGGGTGAAGTAGGGCGGAGGGGACCCTGGACAAAGTCAAATCCCAATCCGTCCCTGCTTCCCCATTCAAAAAACACAAGGAAATCAAGGAGCCTCCCTTCTTCCTTGTATACCGCTCCACTTCCCTCCACTCCGAACACACCTCCTCCGAACACACCTCCTCCGAACACACCTCCCGAAACACCTGCTCCCAAACACCACTTCCTGTAGCTACTTCCCCTAACACACCGTCTCTCAACACCTACCAAATGAAGACATTCCCGGGGGTGGGGCAAATATTCCAAATTGACAAGCGGGCCTTCGAGTGGGGTCTCTCTTCGCCAAAAAGGTTCTTTAAGAATCCTAGGGAGTCATAACCTGTCTCATGGAGAAAGTTTAGGATCATCTTTGGGGGTGGGGAGGGGTCAAGGATGACTTTTGAAACATTATCATGGTGGATGTGGGAACATCAGTTGCAAAAATTCTGTGCCGGTAGGGCCCCTGTTATTCTCCATCCTACATTATACAGGGCGCTAAAACTAACTGATCCCACGGACGTCGGCGGGATTGTCATAGATGGTTGCATGACGACAGAGATGGGGACAGGGAGCGTAGAACAATCAGTCGGAGTCTTAACCCCCGCAGATTTCCGCCCAGTCTGCGTTTAAAGGACTCAAGCTCAAATTATGTTTATCAAGCTAGCCATTTTGAATATGAGGGGCTTCCCGCCTGCTTTGTGATCTCTTGTCCTTTGGAGTGGATATAGCTGTGATCCAGGAAACACACTTTGTTTGTGACGTTGATGCTCTTGTGCTGTCTAGCGACTTTGTTGTTTATTTGGCAAACGGAGGCCGGCAGACCAGAGGTGTTTCCTTGTTAGTCAAACATTGCTTGGATGCAAAGATAGACCTTGTCCATGTGGCGTGAGTAGTGGTTTGTTTCGCGTCGTTGCGGTTTATGCGGCCTACAAGGAAGAGGAGCGTGTCAACTTTTTCCGTCAGTTGATACCGTTCCCGGTGGATTCGTCGCGCTTAGTCTTAATGGTGGATTGGAATGCTCTTCCGCACCCCAAGATAGACAAGGACGGGGAGCTAGCGGGAGGGCATCGGGCGATCGTAGCTTAATTGATCAGATCGGCGAGTTTGGGCTCGTCGATATATACCGGGTCGATCATCCAGGGCGGGAGATGTGGACGTGGGCCCTTAAGTGGTCGTCTTTCAAGTAGCTAGCTACCTGGACAAAATGTTAGTAGGAAGTGTCGAACTACATTTACTAGATTGTCCAATATGCCACCGTTCAGACTATTCAGATCATAGACTCTGAAACGCGAAGCTAGCGAGCGCTATTAGGGTCAGGTAGTTAGACATAGGTTAAACATGATTATATAGAGGCTGTGAACAAAGGCGCATTACCCCGGATTGGCGTTCTCTGGGGTCGACCAAGAACATGTGCGAGGCGTTTAGTGGCAATGAGTTTCGCAGTTATTTGGCTGACTTTCTTCGGCTTTCGCCGACTGAGGCGGCTAGCTACGAAGGTGAGAGTACAGAGGGCGAAGTTCACTTAGCATTGAAGGAGGTCGGCAGGGGCAAGTCTCCCGGATATGATGATCTGCCCTACGAAATGTACTTTAGCTGTCGCACGTCTTGTCCCGATTTTGTCTCTGTTCTGTTCAACCACTGGTTCCGGCAGGGGTCCATCTCCGACCGGATTTCCAGGGGCGTGATCACGCTGTTGAAAAAGGGCAAGAGTATTAAGCGGGATTTAGACAATTACAGGCCCATAACTCTGTGTTTAGCAGATTTTGACCAAGATCCTGACGGAGCGTTTGTAGTCAGTTGTAGCGAGCAGACTTGTGCTGTGACGAGACGAACATTTCAAAGCAACCTGCATCTGATCCGCATGATCATAAGGGATGCAGAAGACGACAAGCGAGCCGCGCTGATCAATTTTGGCATTTGATAGGGTAGACCATCAACTGAAAATAATATATTTTTTCCGAACTTTGTCGCGATAATCTGAAAGTTTGGCATCTAATCAATATCAGTTCATTAAAAAAGAAAACAAAAGTTTGGGGCACTGCTCTAAGTCTGCTAAAACTGGTTTTAAACCGATTTTAATAATGATTAACACTTAAACTTGAGAATTATTGTTTATTGCGAGCCCTAAGCAATACGATCTACAACAAACATATATACTCACACAATGGAGAACAATGACATTCATAGATGGTTGTTGACGATATCACCTCACCTTAGCTCAAAGGTAGTAATCTTGTGGAGTGAAAACCTCATTTATTGGAAGTAATACGTTTATAGCCAGTTATATTGTTGTTTTAGAATGTTACATTTAATAATAATGGTAAATGTATTTTGGCAAACTTCGTTTCCTTTGCCTTAAGTAACTCGTGTTTATCCTTGTTTGGGAAATCCTTCAGTTAGGGAGCCGTTATAGAATGACAACCCAACAACAGGAAAAAAGTTGTCGAAAACTACGGAAAAAAGGAAAAATGAAGACAAATAAAAAGAAGAAGAAGAAAGAGGATGAGGAGGAGGGTGAATATAAATTAAAAGAAGGTGAAGAGAAAGAAAAAATATATGAAGAAAAATATGAAGAGGAAATAGACCAAAGAAAGAAAAAGAAAGAAAGAAAGAAAGAAAGAAAGAAAGAAAGAAAGAAGTTCTGAATAAAGCCAAAATAAGGAAGGCGGGAAAATTAAATGTGACAGAAAATAAAGAAGAAAAAATGAAAAGAATAAATTAAAGAAGAAAAATGAAAAGAAAAAGAACAATACAAGCATGGAAATGATAAACAAAAAAACGTAAAGAAGAAGAAAAAAAAAGAAAAGTCAAGCAAAAGAAAAAAAACGAAATCAGGAAAGAAGAGAAACAAAATTCAGATGAAGAAATGAGAAAATGAAATAAATTGAAAGAAAATGAAAAATGTTGTAAATGAAAAATAGAAAACTGAAAAAGTGGAATAAAGAAGAGAAAGTCGATAGAAGGAAGAAAAAAGAGAACGTACACCTAGTGGTCAATGTTTTTGCCAAACTAAAATTAATATACCCAGATCTTGAAGCAAAAAAAAAAAAAACTATTTTGAATGCCAATTCACAAGTTAGGTCACCCCCACTAGGTAGATTGACTTCTCTACCTCCATTCCTCATCAATGAGCCTTAAATATCAATGATACACACACACACGCACACACACACACACACACATATATATATATATATAGATAGATAGATAGATAGATAGATAGATAGATAGATAGATAAACGCATTCAGATTTAATGTCAAAAATCAGATCAGATAACAAGAAAGAAAGAGGTTAAGAAAAGAATGTAACCTTGCTTTTTAGCGTATAAAAGACCATTTTTTAACAAGAAACTATGTTTCAAACTTCTCCTTTCTCTAATATACTGAAGGTATAAATCTCCCATCTTGTAGGTGGAGGGCATGGAGTGCAGCTATCGCTGACATCCCTCGACTTTGGAAAACAGCTTTGAATATAGTGGGGCATCGCATTTACCCAAACTTATGATAATCTTTCAGAGAAAGATTAACTAGAAAGAGAGGGAGAAATGATGAAAGAGAAAAGAATGGCAATGTGGGGATAAGGAAAGAGTGAAAGGGAGAACGAATGCCTTTATATATTAAAGGCTTGAAGGAGGAACGCGGTATGGAAAGAAAATACAAAGAGAAGAACAGTGAAACGAAAGGAAAAACGATAAGATTAATCGAATGAACGATTTAAACGCAAAACAAATGAAAGGATAGGAAGGAAAGAAAGAAATATAAAAAGAAGAAAAGTAAAGAACAGACGGAATAAATAAAAAATAAGCAAGGTAGTAAGACAAGGAAAAACAAACGAAAGAAAGAAAGAAAGAAAGAAAGAAAGAAAGAAAGAAAAAGAAAGAATGAAAACAAGTAAGAATGAATGAATGAACGAACCAAAGAAAGAAAGAAAGAAAGAAAGAAAGAAAGAAAGAAGGAAAGAAAGAATATCTGAAAGAAAGAATGAAGGAATGAAAGAAAGAAAGAATGAATGAATAAATGAAGGAATGAATGAAAGAAAAAAGAAAGAATGAAAGAAAGAATGAAGGAAGGAAGGAATGAAAGAAAGAAAAAAGAATGACTGAAAGAAAAAATGAAGAAATGAATGAATGAAAGAAAAAAGAATGAATGAAAGGAGCGAAGGATAAAAAGAAAATTAAAAAACTAAGAAAAAAGAAAGACCAACTAAAAAAGAAAATGAACAAATAAATTTTCGAAATTAAACCAAAAACCGTTGCCAAATAAATCGCTATGATTTCAAGAGAATCTGTTTATCCAACAAAATCAATCGAATATTGAAAGCATTAAAATGGCGGCCGAGGATTTTCACGTGACTGTTATCCAATAACATATTCCAAATCAATGATTATTTCAACAGAAATCGGATTCCTGAAAAATGTTTCCAAGACAACATGAAAAGAAAGTTGAAGAATTCTTTTCATTTTCTTCTCATCCGATAAGCGAGTCTTGTAAACAAAATATGAAGTTTGATTGTCTTTCAATGTTAAGAGACGCAATATCAATGCTGTTTTGAAATGATTGGAATTTCCACCCATTTTTTTTTAACGCAGGATCATACAAGAAAATCTACGCACGTCAACCCTAAAATTACACGGAAACAGTAGGAAAGAAAATGAAACTAGCGAAATGAGTTCAAATTCCAGATGCGGTAGTTCATTCTCTTGGGAAAGTCATGAAAACATTCTTGGCCAATAATCTCAAGTAACCTTATATAACTTAGAGGATAGGGGTATCGGCATGTAACCCCCATTAATACGAGAGATGGCCGGAAAAAATCGCCATGGTTGATCAAGAGATTAGTGTATATATATATATATATATATATATGTGAAAAGTGAATATAAATATAAATAAATATATATATATGTATAATTATTTATATATTATATGCGCGGTACTTATTAGAAAGCGCTCAATATCAGAGATAGAGCTAACATATTTGGTTGGATAGATGTGAGTTTGTGACCCTGGGTTTCACGCTTTAGCGATCGTCAAACAATTTGTCTGACGATCACATCTATCCAACCAAATATATATATATATATATATATATATATATATACACTATATATATATAAATAAATAAATACTTTCATAAAATAAAACATTATAATTTTTAATTTGAAACTTTTTCTTTATATATATATATATATATATATATATATATATATATATATATCCATGCAAAATCAGAACGAATAGAGTACAATTAGTCAAAGTTGGTAACATTCATTTTAAAAAGAGGTCTCAATACAATAGAGCAATATTATTTATTAACTCCTGATGAGATGCGTTGATTCAAAATCGAAACACGACTGCAACTATTTAGCGCTTTTCGACATGTTTTTGATATAATATCCTAAAATAATATATATATATATATATATATATATATATATATATTAATACATTTTATGTTTATACATTCTTTTTACAGATACAAATATTTAAGTAAATGCTCTGTTTTATAATAATTTACTTAAACATTAGTATCTATAAAAAGAATTTATAAACAAAAATGTGTTTAATTGTTGGACTTTGTCCATGTGTGACGTCATATATATATATATATATATATATATATATATATATATATATATATATATATATTAATGTTTAATTTTGTTTAAATGTTATTTTTAATGGATATTCATATTCGTTTAGATGCTCTGTTTTTTAAGTGACCAGTATTTTTCTATCCCACTAAATCTATCGGACTGAATATCCGAAAATTCTTCTCAGAAAAATATACGTCCTCCCGCAGGAATCATTAGATATGACGTGCCTAACCGCTCGGACACAACGGACTCACGGTCAAGCAAAGCCCGAACTGTGCTTTTAAACACTCATACTCTGCCGATTCTCGAAACATCCATATCTGCTCTGTTTTGTATCCTGCTGGAGAACGCACAGATTATCTGACAATTTTTCTAACGAAGCCAAAAAATATTATGAAACAGCCCTAAAAGGCAGTGTATTCTCGACAGTACTCACATACACACTTCATAGTACAAAAAAGTGAACAGAGAATGAGACATCATATGTTTTAACCCACCGTAAAACAAAAAGGTAAAAAGAAACCTAGCTAAATATGCATTAAACTCATACGCAAACATTTCCCTGCATGAAGCCCTCTCCACAAAATATTCAACACAAACAGAATAAAAATCAGCTAGAGATGCGCAGAGAACCTGACACAAATAATAAAAAGCACAGCAGAAAAATAACCAACAAACCATACGCACAAATCAAAAAACTATAATTGCAGTGTAAAAGAAGTCCCTCAAACGACAATTGCTTGCAAAACAATATAATATACCAACCCATAATTAAATAAAAAGCAGCTGAAGAAGAGATAATGTTCCTAGGAGTAACTGAAAGACCCTGGAAATAGAGAAACTACACTCACAAAATATCCTTTAACTATAGTGGTGTGACGGAAAAGTACTTCGAAGAGAAAAAAAGTCAAACAGTTATGTTCTGACCCCAAAAAGAAGAGGTATTGAGCAAAATTTCATGGGAAAATTAGCTCAGGTGGGGGTGTTGTAATGGAATGTCCCACACTCCGTATCGCCTATGTTGACTGACTATATCAGTAGATATGTAGTAAGTACAGGATATACCTGGCGGACTTGCTTCGGCAATTAGTTGGAGATTCGTCTCCAACTGTGCTGGTCGAACTCTCTGCCTTCGGAAAGAGAGGGACCCACACTACGCTATGCCGAAAGGCAGAGTCTCTTCTGGGGTGGTAGACAGCTACCCGACCCTGTCTATACGAGGTCTAAGGGGAATTTTTGCCCGAGCCTACGATGCCGCTTTTTTGCCCCGCATTAAAAAACGGCCTTGTACTACATCCATCCACGCGAGGAGGTAAGGGAAATAACTTTACTTCGAGAAATAATAGCTTACTAACCGATTCCCTGTCTTTCAGTAGTGTATTCTCTTTTACAATAAACCTCTACATTTCATCTACGCCCATTTGCTGTTCCTTTCACTCGAGTACCAATTTTGTCTGTTTGTAACTTTCTTTAAGGATACAATATATAGTAAATACGCGAACATCACAAACCTTTCTGAACATATATGTTAAATCAAAAACGAAAGTTAAAATACACCAAATATACAAAAAATAAATTCAAAAACTGTTGTCTGGAAGAGAAATTCGCTATAATCACCTCCCCAGACCAAAGGAAATTACAAAAATCTCCTGAGCCGACCAATCATAGAAATGATTACAATGGGGGAACAAGTAATAAGGAGTGCCAGAGAAAAGCGATAATAACAACAAAAATTGCAATATGAGCTCTGGTAAAAACATGCAATGATAACAGCACAAAAATATGAGCACAAAAATATGAGCACTGCTAATGACATTAAGTTTATTATACCCAGAAATTCATACACATGGACACATGGCACAGTGGATAAAGGCGTTAGTTATATCCAGTGACAGGATAACTGATAACTGACATCCATTAAACATGGCACGTGGAACTAGAGCGAAATAAAGCGTTCAGTTCGACATTCCAACCACCTGAAGAAGGCCGGAGCGTACAACGTCCGAAATGTTGTAATAAATATGGCAACCAAGATGAGGAAAATAGTTCAAATAATGTAAATAGTGTACATAATACTTCATCTCAGAAATATAGACAGATACTAAATGATCAGAACTTATCTCAAAATACAGATACGAAAAAAATCTTTACTAAGTTAGTTAACAATAAAAACAAAAAAACTAAAAACGGAGAACTTTTAAAACCCTACCAAGAAAAATGCAAATACATGCACTTATATAACACGCAGATAATATAATATACTTTAGTCAATATTCAAACTAAACAAATAAGATAACGAAACACCCCACCAAAAAAAGAAAATAAATGAACAAACCGTGCGAATGCCACACGCATAACCACAACTAATTAAATTTAATAATAATAATCTATAACAAATAATTAGTAAATACAAATGCCCTAATGTAACATAATAAATAATGAGTTAATGTTAACAAATAATACATTTATAGATAACCGACTTGTGATCCATAATTAGCTTTTAGAATAATTGGAAATATAACCTATGTCGCCTATACCTAATAACCCCGTTAGGAAAATACACATATAAAGCGGAAATCCCCGATCTTGCTACCCATAATGCCCCATTGTCTAGCATATATGAATGGCCAAAGCACCACAACAATCCT